TAGAGCACTAATTAGGGTTCGGGAAAACGTGCACAAGTCTCATGTCTAATGCATAGGAATCCGTTTCCATATGGCCGGATAAATGGCTTGGAAAGTTACGGAGACCAGCTAATGAGGAACAACCGCATCTAAATCAAATTGACTCTCAACCGGTTCATTCCAATCCAGACGATAAAAAGGAAAACTTTACTGAAGGAATACATGTATGAAAATCTTAAGAATTTGCATAATTAATAAATCAGGAGCTTAATTAATTCAAACATGGGCACCCACTGCCCTACATACACAAAACACTAAATGACAGTGGAAGAGGCACCCTCTTATTTACATCACGGAAGCCACATAGCAAGTTTTAAGCCTGTAAGAAGAGCTTTTAATAGCTAAGACTATAATAAAACATCCTAATCCATTGTAGCTGTATGCAGCATGAAGTCAAGTTATATAGGACCTGTTTGGGTATATTCTGTTCTTGTACGAATGGGCTATACTGTAGCTTGCGCCTGCTAGCCGTGCCAGCGCCTTGGCTCATTGTCAGGCGCTGGTGCATTACAAGGTTTTCTCTCTGCTTATCGGCGAACTGTGAAAGTCACCTAACTGGATTAGCCCTCAGCTCGCCAGCCAGGATGAGACGGGCCCAGCAGGATGCCTCCGCTTGCCTCTCTTTGAGCGTGTGTGCGAGATAGAGAGAGGGGACGGAGTACAAAGAGAATGTAAATGCGATCTGTGTCCGTCCTTTCTGTTTTTGCCCGACATGCACTTTTATTTCCCGCCTGCACAAAGAGCGGGGTGCGGGGTATTTGAGGCCAGAGTTGTTCATTCTGGTTTGTGAAGCTCTTGAATTTCAGATTTTAAACTTGCACTGAAGAGTAAAGTATGATTCAGTGTTTAGACAGAAAGTTGGCAGGAAGTAGTTCACACAGTTGTCTCAGTATAGCTGCTTATTAGCTACGCTAGTATCATAACTCTGGGCATGGTAATGTTGATCTGTCTGTCGGTTCTTCCAGACTGAAATATTTCAACAACTATTGGATAGATTGCCATGAAAAGTTGTACAGACATTCACAGTCCCCAGAGGATGAATCCTAATAACTTTAATCATCCCCTGACTCTTCCTCTGGTGCCACCAGCAGGTTCATGTTTGTGGTCTTCAGTGAAACGCTGAATGGATTGTCACGCGTCATAGTTTGGTATAGACATTCATGTTTCCCTCAGGAGTAATTGAAATAACTTTGTTGGTCCAAAGTATTTAGTTTATGACCAAATACTCAATTCCCATCAGCCTCAGCTGTACTTTGTGTTCAGTGCTAATGTTAACATGCTAACACACTACACTAAAATGGTCAGCATGGTAAACATACCTGCTGAACATCAGCATGTTAGCATTGCCATTGCGAGCATGTTAGCCTGCTGAATTTAGCATAAAATAACTAACGACATTCCCATCATCCTCAGTTGTACTTTGTGTTCAGTGCTAATTAGCAAATGTTAACATGCTAACACTCTAAAATGTTCAGCATGGTAAACACACATGCTAACATGTTGATGTTTAGCAGGTGTGTTTACCATGCCGATGTTAGCATTTAGCTCAAAGCAGCACTGTGCCTACATCCTCACAGAGCGTCTAGCATGGCTGGAGAGTCATAATTTTGTAGACAGAAGGATGAAGTCAGTTGTTTGTTTAAGTCTACATTTCCATAGGGGTTAGCGTAGCTGAAGACTTGCACTAGTATTAACATAGCATTTATGCTAAATAATGTCACTGTATATGAACTGAATGTGGTTCATATACAGTAATTGCTATTTCTGTATATTTTATCAGTAAATAATGCATACAGCTCAGTATCTTTGACATTTACCAGCACTTAGCAGGTTAATTTTCTAATTTTCTCTGTATTCACCCCACTAATAATGGTCTCAGTCTAGTCCCGTCACTATCAGAAGATTTATGACAACCAGCTTGGCAGTTATAAGACTGAGATTGTACATTTTGTTGTAACCATCACTGTTTTTGCTGACAGTGCTGTATCTGGCCTAAAACGTGTCAGCGAGAAACAACACGCTGAATTTTTTATTCATCCGCGGGGGAGCCTCGTGTGGATGTTGCTGGATATGTTACAGACATTCCGTGTTCAGGATTTGGTTCAGTAATTCAAGCTTTGTATATGTTTTTCTCTCCCTCCATCCATCTGTCTTTACTCCCTCTTTGCCTGTCTTTCTCCTGCCTCGAATCCTCTTTCAGACAGCTTTAGTTTGAAGTTCGAACTTTGAAGCGTTCTCTCCAGTGCCCACCGTTCAGCGCTTGACATTTTTGACATTGTCTCTAATCTTTATTCTGTTGCTGTTAGCAGTGGTTTGGATGCGGTTGTTTACGATGACACCAAGCCATCACTCCTGACTCCATTCATCTCAATGTGTGTTCCCTCCCTCTGTCTCTCCTCTTGTACACAGCGAAAGGTTCTTTGTCAAGCTGAATAAGGGCGGGTTGCCAAAGTCGCCAGAGAAGACAGAAAGACAATGCACGCTATTTGTGGTGAGTAGTGGACATGGCTTTGACCTTACAGAGACTGATTGGGAGCAATTTAAAGCTATTTAAAGCTACTTAAAGCTGACCTGAGTCATCTTCCATTACCCTGAAAGCCAGGTCAGTGCTCTGCAGCTTGTTTACAATCTAATGCTAAAGTATGTTTTCTTGTTTTGTCAGGATTTGGGAAGCAGTGATCTACGAAAAGATGTTTACATCGTTGTACACATCATAAGAATAGGTGGGTGTTAGTTCTGCTTCCTTATCCTTCTGAGCACTACATGTCTTTAAAAATCTCTTGGGCTTTCATATCAGTACTGTTTTGACTGTGGATGCTTCTTTGTGTGTGTGTGTGTGTGTGTGTGTGTGTGTACAGGGAGAATGGGAGCAGGCGAGAAGAAGAATCTGTGTAGTGTGCAATACAGGCGGCCGTTTGGCTGTGCTGTTGTCAGCATCGCCGATCTCCTCACTGCTGACTCCAAGGATGACCACCTGCTCAAGGTTTATGCGTAAGTCACTGAAAACAACCAGTATTTCAATATTAAGTCCTTCCTATTACCACATTTGTTTATCTCTGGCTGAAAATCACTAATTAACACACTATCTCTTATTTGTTTAATTCATACAAGAACCGGGCCGTCTTTATGCTAAGCTAACCGTCTATTGGCTCTAGCTTCGTATTTAACAGACGCATATGAAAGTGGTGTTGATCTTCTCAGCTCCCTCTCGGCAAGAAAGCATATAAAAGTGTATTTCCCAAAACTATTCTAAAAGTCACTGATCTTTAAAATGAACTACAACTTTAGCTTTTATCCGAAATACCAACCATATATCTTGCGAAAGAGATATCAGTCTTTGAAAACCCAGTGCTGGAATTCCCTTTTATGAAGCTCCAAAGCAATTCAGTTCAAATCATCTCACTAGCAGGTAGTAACAGAGACATTTCACAACTACAACACACCTTTTCCTGTTGTACTTCAGGGGCTTGGTGCTTTTTCATTAACGGTGGCAGCGAAGGGACTTTATTGTCCAACCTAGTCAACACGATGCCCCTAGGGATAGAAAAGGCTACCGTTGACACAATAGTCTGACCTAAATTATAGTTGGATCAGACCAACTGGCCCAGAATACACTTAGCTCTGGAGAAAATACAACCCCTTTCTCTATACCTGCAGTAATGCCAGAGGTTTTAGTCGGATTAGCATTAAAGTTCTGAGCCCAGTGTTTTCAGCATTAGGTTCAGACAAGACGTCATTGTAAATACTGTAAGAAGTTGTTTTTACTTGACCTGCCCTAGTTAAATGTTAAACACTGCCAAAAAAAGTCTGTGCACGTGGAGATTTAAAGATGTGGACATTTACTCTAATGGAAAAAAGCTTTTGTTGCATTATGGGAAATGGAATACAACATTTCATCAGAGCTTGACCCATATATAGGCCCTGACATTCATAATATGTTTGCTTTGCATTGATTTTGACCATTATTTTAGTAATCTGTCCTTTCCCCACTTTATTGAGTAGAAATTGTAAATTGCTGGAGTGCTCCTTTTAAGTAGTAAAATATTTATTTTCTGTCTAAGGTGTAACACTGAGAGTGAGTGGCACCAGATCCATGAGAACATCATTAAGAAGGCAAACTCCAGGTACAACCTGTCGGGCTCCAACACCGGTAAGAACCACATCTTTTTAATTCATTTTGCTTTCCTCACTTCTACACATCTTTTGTTTAAGACATTAAACAAGGGGGTTTAGTAATGCCTCAAGTTGGCCTCTTGGTTTTAAGCGGATATACTGGGTCTTTCTTTCTTTTGTTTCATGCTTTTATAATCTTGGAACAACTTTCAAAGCTGTTAATTCTGTACTCTGATGATAACCAGGCTTATTTTCTTCACAAAACTTTGATTTTGCTGTGTTGACAAACTCAGCAGCTCAATTGCATCATCAGTCTCTTGCCATGCAATAGTCAGTTTCCGGTCAGTATAGCGCTTATGTGGAAGTGAAGTTCCTCTTTAGGGGAGCAGATCAGTCTTCACATGGTCGTGTCTGCAGGAAGCCTGCTGTTGCAAATGCTTTCAGATGATTTTTATAAATAGCTGCAGTCGCATCATGCTGAACACCAGCATCAGCAGTTTCCCATAGCAACAGGTTGGTGGAGAATCAGAACATTCAGTTCTTCAAACGTCAAAGAAATGTCATGTGACATATGAAGAAGTTTTGTTACGCATAGAGATTGTAGAGATTATACAAAGAGTCTTATAGATGCAGCTGTTAGTTAAATCTAACTTGCAACATATTTGTGTACACAAAATTATAGCCCACAATGAACTTGTGCATACAAAACAAATACAATATATTCTACAGTGAAGAAAGTGTAACGCGAGAAGACATAATCATGAATTAAACAATGTTAGCTAGTTTGCAGCTGTTTGCATCAAGGGGCAAATGTACAACCCAAAGTTAGCAATCAGTAACTTTTCATAGGAAGTTTGTCTTAAAGCTGATTTACATAAATCACTTTTTGAAATGTTGCTGCAAACTTGCTGAAGGCTGTTAATTTCATAATGAAAATATTAATTTGCTTGCATCTTAACAGAGTCCATTGTCCCCTTACATCTCCCTCATGTATTCTTAGAGCAACACCACAGCCTGCTACATAGAAAAGGTTGATAAAAGTTTGACGTCTATCAGCACCCAAAAAGGAGACGCGAGAGAGAGATTATAAGAATGTCAACAATCTGTGGGACTGATCTACTGACTCAGCTCCTCTTTCCAGCTTTCCTCAGGAGATCAATGATTACTTGAAGAGAAGTCATACAATTCAGGGGTTTGAAATGATTGTGAATAATGTTGCGCAAGCTTGGAGGAATTGCAGTAATTAAATTGAGTGACACAAAGCCGTTTATCTGAGCAGCATCTTGGCACTACGTTGGTTCATAAGAAAACTGCAGCTGAAGTTCTATATGACAGTGCTGCTGTTGAATAGATGGAGATGTGAGGGGCTTTGCATAGCAGAGCCGATAAGTGCGACAAAAGTCTAAATTTATTTCTGATGAGGCAGAGGAATGACACTAAAATAGGAATATTACGCAACTTACTGTTTCCTTATCTCATCATTGAACTCCAACAAAAATCTTAATCAAGTTCTTCTATCAGCTTTATTTGCCACTTAATCTGTTGACTGGCTGTGTTATCAGATAACACACAGCTACGCACGCGTTATCAGATTTAATTACAGATAAAGCATACAGACAATGTGCTTTGTTGATGTTGAACTTCCAAGACCTTTGGCAGATGACACTGCAGACATGCAACTTACTCAGTGTTGCCTGATGGAGGACATCCAGCTTAGTCTGCAGTATGTTTTCAACATATAAGTGTTTGTTTCGGGCTTTCATTTGACAGCGTGCTCACATACTTCATCATAAATACATGTGAACGAATTAGTTTAAAGAGTTGCCCTCGCTCTATGGTTGCTGTGTGCAGTTATTCACATACACTTGGATGTTAGCTATTGAGTGGCTGTCAGCTAAAGACATTGATCCAGCTGAACGCCTGATTTGCCTCAGTGCTTTCTCTTTCAAAGTGCATTAGAGGAGAGCTTTGGGCCTTTTGTCACAATAGCTTGGCGTGCATAATTCGAGTGGGTTCGTTCCAAAATTACATTTCCACCACTTAACTGAATTTGACATTGATCTTAGAAAGAAAAATGCTTTAATCACAAAAATAGAGGTAATAATTTCCATTTGTAAGATAATGAGCACTGAATATTAGGTTTCATTTATGTATTATGAGCACCATTCATCTGTCTGGGCCAAATTAATTCATTATGATTTTATTTGCTTTGACAGTGTGACTTTGCAAGGGCTGTGCTCTTATTGTCACTTTTTGACTTATATCTCTTCTATTATGTCTCTCTCTCTCTCTCT